ATTACAAAGTTCTTTCTCCCATTATGAACAAATGAGATTTCTTGACAATCTCGAAAAGATAGCTCCGTAAGTATTAATTTACATTGTTTTTAACTGAAATTTTACAAACATTCAAATTGTGTGGTATGGAATTTAATAATTTTTAAACTCGTTTTTATTTCAGAACTGCCAGCTCCATCCAGCATCTTTTAGAAATGCCTTCATCCCATGTTGATGTGCAAATGGATACTATTCAAGAGGATAACTTGAGTGATTTTGACGATTCCGTAATGAATTCTGCATACTCACCATCAGAAGCATCACAAATATCATCATGTCCCTCATCGGCACGGGCTAAAAAGTACAGTAGTAAGTAATAATATTTTTATTTCAAAATTGAAAAGACAAGATATGGAGCTACGAACTAATCAAGATCTTAATGCTAAAATATTAAACATTTATTGTTTAACATTTTAGCATTAAAGACCTTGCTTGGCTCATAATCCTATATCTTGTTTTTTTTAATTTTCCCTTGATTTTGTATTTTTTTAAGGCATATGTATACGCATATATATTAATTACAGATGTGCAAAAGCAAACTGAAATTGAAAAGAAATTTCTAAATATGATTGATGAAGAATTATCGCAGAAAAAACGTGATACAGTTGACAGTTATTTAAAACAGCTTGGCGATATACTACGCCGATTGCCCTATATACGACGCAGAAACCTGCAAAGAAAAATCCTCGATATTGTTATAGAAGAAGAGGATGTTATATTTATGGAGAGGGAGAATGCTAATTAGAAATATTTTATTAATATTATAAATTTTTAAATGTCGTGTATTACTGCAAAAAATAAAATATACTTTTCCATTTAGTTTATTACATAATATTTCAAGTCATTACATAATATTTATCATAATTCACTACATAATGTTTCAAAAGTCGTTACTTAAAACTTTATTCCATTGCCACGGTAGAGGATTGACATGCTCAAAATAATAAGTGAAAGTGTCTCGAATTTTTATTGCTGCAGACTTTCGTGAAGAATTTGTATAACTTGCACGTCTAAGTCCGTAACTTGTAGCCAAAATTTCACGTTCTTCTTCTCGTATGTTACAATACCTTCTTTCTGCAAGTGGTAATTCTAGTTCTTTATTATATATAAAATTATGCAAGACAATTGTTGCCTGCACAGCTTTTACGACAGTAGATGTGCTTGCAATAATAGGTTGACGATATAGTCTCCATCTTGCAACCAAAATCCCGAAAGCACATTCAACTGTTCTTCTTGCTTGACTCAGGCGATAATTGAAAATTTTTCTACTAATATTCAGTTGTCCACTACGAGGATATGGTCGCATCATATATGTGCTCAAAGGAAAGGCCTCATCTCCCAGCAAAACGTACGGAAATTCCAAATCTGTATTATTCAAACGTGTTGGTAGAGAGATATGAAGAGCATTCGTCTCAAGTAGATGTGGTAATTCACTGTTTTCAAAAACACCTCCGTCGCTTTGCCTTCCTTCAGCTCCAATATCAACAATGGTGAAGCGATTCTTGGCATCACTTACTGCGAGCAGGTTTATGCTGTGATTTCAAGAAGAAGTACAACCTTTACAAGAATGTGATTATCAAAATACAATGCAAGAACAAGACATACAATACTCAGTAACAGAAACAAATGAGATAGAAAATGTATCAACGAACGTTAATATAAGGCAGCATAGTAGAAAAAATGAAACAGTAACACAGAAAAAGAATACAAGAAAAGGTTTTGAATGGAAAGCCTATTATGTAATTATAATTTTTTTTTAATTAAAATTTTTTAACAGCAGGCAAGTCTGTGCATCAATTATCGTACAATATGCTAGAAATTCAAGAAGCTAAATTAAAACTAAAGAGAAAAGAATTAAAAATTAGAAAGAAACAACTAAAGGTGCAAACAAATATCCTAACAGAATTAAAAGAAATAAAATTAAGTTTACAGACACAGAACGGATTCATAATATAAAAAATATTAACACAATTTAATTTATAACTTTAAACTTATGACTTTAATGACGTTAAACTTAGGTACAGGTTTTGTGCAATACAAATAATGCAGAAAAGTTTATTTTGTTTTGTTTATAATATTTATTTGTAATGTAAAGAAAAATTTCTTTTTGTCTTAAGTAAAAAATTAATATCTAAACTAAGTTATGCAAAATATCTTTCAATTATTGCTTCACGTGTCGCATGTCCTCTTGCACGCATATTTGCATTTTCTGCCTCAATTCCTTCTTCATGAAAATCTTCCTCTTCTAAATATATTTCTTCAAGAACATTATATTGCTTAGCAATATTATGTAATACACA